CCTAGAAAAACTTTCCTGTAAACATTTTCCTGCAAAAATAACAACAAAAATAATATACAAGATCGCGCATGAGGCAGAAAAGTGCCGATGAAAAATCGCGCAAATCCTGTTCTTCAACTTCAATCGATCGATCAATAGCAGGAACTTCAATCGGTCACACGCTCGGCTCTGATACCAATTGTTGGTCCCTATTTCTACTCTATAATGTATAAGATCTGATTAATAGGAGTAGAAGAAGCTTTCCATGGATAGCCAGAAAGTTTACACAAAGATGATGAAGAATGTTAGCGTAAAACTTCCGTAGGCTCTATTCTATGCGCAGGAAATTTTTCTAAGGGAGGAAAGCTTAACCTAGCCATTCCTAAGGGGTCTATTTATAGCCTCCTTAGAATGGTAGGTTTTACAATGATATTGGCTCTCCTTTTTAGGAGGCCCATTCCTAATTTAGCTTAGTAGCCTTTTCCATTTAAGGCCTATTAAATACACAATAAATACTACCAAGAGGCTAGATAAAATACATTGATCACAACACTAAAAATATCTCTAACAAATTCAATCGGGAACACATTCAAATTAATTCTTGAAGATAACTGCTCATTTTTGTGTTCTCGAATTAATTTGAATGCACTCTCAATTAAATTTTTAGCTGAAATTTGGTATGAGTAAACTAGACTTGATGAATAAGATGCTCAAAAAATTTCATCAAAAAATTGCACCGGGAACCACCCCGAATCGCGACGACCGGACAGAGTCTCCTATAGAAGGACTTAATTGACTTTTTTTTGAAAGTTCGAGGACCTATTTGACAGTTTTCCTTATAGAAGATTCTGTCCGGACGTGCCATTTGAGGTGGCTCAGCTCCCAGTGGAATTTTTTGATGAATTTTTTTTAGCATCTTATTCATTAAGTCTAGTTTACTCATACCAAATTTCAGATAAAAATTCAATCTGGAAGACATTCAAATGAATTCTTGAAGATAGCTGTGCCGTTAAAAGCGCTATTATCTTCAAGAATTCATTTGAATGTCTTCCCGATTGAATTTTTAGCTGAAATTTGGTATGAGTAAACTAGACTTAATGAATAAGATGCTAAAAAAAATTATCACAAAATTCCACCGGGAGCCACCTTAAATGGCACGTCCGAACAGAATCTTCTATATAAGGACTTATTTGACGCCTTTTTTGCAACTTCGAGGACCAAACTGACCCTTTACTCATATTCAAAGTCATAGTTTTGCAATACACATGGAGGTTCTCATGTTAGTTGGAATGCTCACTCTTTTTAATTTGCAAGTCTTAAACATTAGTACCCCATAAAGAGTTTAAATAAAGAAAAAAAATTACTATCTTTTGAAGGATAGTCTTTATTTCCTATAGAAATTTTTATGGGCCTCAAGTTGCCATTTTATGTGAAGCTCTAAATTTTTCCAACTTGCTTCTGCAAGCTTAGCATCAACCATGTGAAATTTTTCTTGCACTCCAAGTTGTTCTTGAACTTTTGCTGTAAAAGCATGGGCATATGCAACTTTAGTTTCAGGTGCAAACTTGATTTGTTTATATTCGAGGTAAAGGTCCGATTAGTACTCGAAGTTGCATAAAAAGTGTCAAATCGGTCCTTATATAGGAGGTTCTGTCCGGCCGTCGTCATTTGAGGTGGTTCCCGGTGCAATTTTTTGACGAATGTTTTTTAGCATCTTATTCATTAAGTCTAGTTTACTCATACCAAATTTCAGCTAAGAATTCAACCGGGAAGGCATTCAAATGAATTCTTGAAGATAAATGTGCAGTTAAAAGCGCAATTATCTTCAAGAATTCATTTGAATGCCTTCCCGGTTGAAGTTTTAGCTGAAATTTGGTATGTGTAAACTAGACTTAACGAATAATATGCTCAAAAAATTTCATCAAAAAATTCCATCGAGAACCGCCTCAAATGGGGACAGCCGTACAGTAAGGACTTATTTGACACTTTTTATGCAACTTCGAGTACCAATCTGACCCTTACCTCGTTTATATTCTATTTGTGTATGTCTCTCTCAAAGCCTTCAAAAGCTACATACAAATATAAAAATCTCCAGTAAACAAGCACTTAATCCCTCAGGATGCTAACAAGGTAGCCAATAGTTCTTTCAAAAGAAGACTAAAAAGCTGAATATTAATTAACTTTAGATGGCAAAATATTTATATTACCCAAGTCTTCTTGTGAAATTCAACAATCATACGAGCATATATAACAACGCAACATTAGCACATTGAAAATCTGAAGAAAGGATCATTGAGAGCCCGTTTGGTAACACTAAAATTGGCTGAATTGGCTGATCTTGCCGAAATTTATAAAGTTATGGCTGAAGTGGCTGTATTGCCTGATTCTGCTGAGTCATGAAAAAATTATATTTAAAATATTTGTTATTAATATATTAAATTAAAATTATATGAAAAAATAGCTAAAATAATCATCTACAGTAACTTGAGCCAATACAACCAGAAAAGTAACTTCAACCTTATTTTTTCTGCTTATAAGAAAATTTGGCACGTGAAATCAAAAAGTTACGTGTTTGGTGAAAAATACTGGCTGATGAGCCCGATAAGCCGAAAAAGGGGTCTCCAAACGGGTTCTGAAATGGAAAAGATTTGAAAAGGGAATGAATTATATATAGTATGTGGCATATGTTTTCTCACCATTTTCTTCATGCGTGTTGCACGATTAGCTCAATGCCAAATATTTAATTACTTTTTTCGCTAGTAGAAATTTATAACGGGACTTCCTACTTGTAGAATAGTTATAAAATTTAAAAAATCATACAATGATATAATATCTAATGGTTGCCTCACTAAAATGAAGGAAAAGACAATATCATTAATTCATAATCAATCATATATTTTTTATCAAGGTAGGTACACAGCATACCCTTTGTAATTAAAACTTATTTTGATGGACAAAAATAGATTAATGTTGGATTTCGGAATCTCATAAGACTGCACTGAACAATCACTCAAATCCCACCATTTCATCTTTGCAACATTCGAACATAATGGGGATGATGTGAAAAGAATTATGTAATAACATTTAATTAAAGAGGTCTGATCTATTAGGACGTAGTTCATATTGGAAAATTGCGGATAATTAACCTTAATCTATTGAACTATTGAAGGGTAAGGCCAATAACGTAATAGAGTTACTTTAAGGTTGTACTAACGGAAAAATATGAATCACACGGCACACCCTCATATAACAATAAAGTTACACCAACAAATTTTTCATACCCAAAAGGGTATTAACCCTCATTCATCTTTATTAGTTTGTAGATTGAACGACTTTACTCCTAACATTTAGTAATTTGATATGAAATATTAATTGTAAATCTCAATTAATTAATACTCTATTTTTCATTAATTGTAAAACCTGGATTCGATTTTTACTCATTACTTTCGATTAATTTATTTTAAAGTTCTAAAGTAATCAATTTGCAACAAAAAATGGCACTTATATGGAATTACAGTTTGTATAATGTCATTTTTTTAACCTTTTTGGCAAATAAAACCATTTTACATTCATGGAAAATACACTTTACTATTTATTTTCATATTTTACATTTTAAATTTTAAAGTAAAAATATTCTTTATATGGTGATGCCATAATTTTATATGAGAATGCCATAATTTTGTTTTTGGGAGTGGTATATGTATGTGCCATGTTTTTATCTATAAGTGTCATGTTTTTATCCATAAATGTCATTTTTATATCTATAAATGCCATGTTTTATATCCATAAATGTCTTATTTTTATACGTTACAGCCATTGTTAATCTAACATGGCAATACATAGTATTTCAGTATTTCATGATGCCAATCTAGCAAATTAGAGATTTGCAACTAGCAAGGAACTGAAGATCCAGATGAGGAACCGCTGTAGTGCGGCAGTGAGAGAGCAGATGGCGGCGGCGGTTCTAGAGAGCGAAATGGTGCCAGAAGATGGAAGCGGTAGACGGAGGCGCCAGCCGCCGCCGATGGCACCAGAGACGATGGTTGAACCGTAGTGTGACAATGGGAGAGCAGATGGAGAGTGACGGCGGCCGGTGGCACCAGAAGACGGAAGCAGACGGCGGTGCCGGCGGCCGGTGGCGGACGGCAGTGGGCGATGGTACCGGTGATGATGGTAGTTCGGCACTGGGTTGCATGTGAGCTGCATCGTGTAAACTTCATTTTATTTTGTAATACAGGGTGTTACTTATATTAATAAAAAAAGTCAGATTTTTTCATTAAGGGTATTGATGTCAACTCATACATTTTCAGTCCTACGGAAGTAATAAAACATTGGAAGTCCTTTTGTTGCACCTTTAACAAATTTTAGTCCTAGTTAGGGAATTATCTCTTGAAACAATGAACAAAACTCTCGACCAGACAATCACGCCGGTGAGGACTAAAATTCTTTCGCACACACGAGGGAGACTTAAAACTCCGGACAAGCACCGGCGGGACGAAACTACGAAGCCGTATGAACAAAAAGCAGCATACTTGCCAGCCACCACCATCAGAATTCCTTTGCACAGCCGCCACTATGGTAGGGTTCGGCTCATGGGCGGAGCTGGGGGTGGGCCAACCTAGGCCATGTCCCACCCCAAATTTTAAAAACGGCTTAATTTTTAAGTTAAAAAATTTCGTGTAATTTTTTTTTTAAAAAAGTTCTTTGTACCGGCCCAGTTCGGCCCAGTGCCCTGGCTCCGCTCCTGGTTCGGCTTCATCATCATGCTCTTAATCTTTAAGATAAAAAACCAACTTAAAATAAGCAATATTCCTATTATCACACCTTTTAAATATCACACGGAGTATTTATGTTATTGTTTTTCGTGTTACATCACTATTCAAGTATTCATTCATTATTTGGGTTTTTTTTGAATAAAATAATGTCACGTACACTTTCCTAACTTTATGACAAACCCTAAGAAATTATGGTATATTTATAAATTTTTAATGGGAAAGGTCTCACTTTTAAAATAGGAACAGTATACTCCGTATTTTTCTTGCCTAAATAAAAATAATCACAATCGAATTTAGAAAATACTACGGAGTATCATACTAGTAATTTGAAATTCACTAAAATTTGTACTCTTATTTTATTTAGGGCAATTGTTACACACATATAGTCGCGCTTAGCAGTAGACGGCTCTTCTCTCCTCTGAATTTTTTTGTCCTTGCCTTCTCCAAGGTAAGTTAAATTCTCTTCTTCGTTCGTATGTAGTTAGTTATTTCAGATTTCATATGGTTTCCGATGAATAGGCTCTGCAAATACCTTAGGATTTTTAACTTCACTTGTAAATATTATACTCCGTATTTTCCTGTTGTTTTGTTTTTCGATTTGAATTTGTATACGCAAGTTAATAGGTTCATCATTAGAGAAGCCTCACAAGTCACAATTTATGCTAATGTTGTAAATTGCTTAACCTCAATCCAGAAACAGAATCAAATTTGTGTTTTTACCTTCCGCCAAAGTATGCAAAAATAATTGTATTTCTAAACTAGTATACGATCAAATTGCAGGGAGCATTAAAAAAACTGTATATACTATCGTATAATTTTTTGGGGAAAATACATATTCAAGCCTCCAATAAGCTAAGCATCTATCGCGTGATTAGACAATATCTAATTTGTTGTTATTTTCATTGTTGTATTTGTAGCATTAGCATCACGAGTTATGGCCTTTCAGTGTCTTTCATGGATCAGGGATCTGTTTGAGGAAGTTTTTGGTGATGATATCACTAATAGTGCTGCAGCGGAGGACGCATTGACAGACAGAAGTACACCGCTCACAGTTATTCATGAGAAATTGATGAAAAAATTCCCGAGAATGTTAATTTCTTCTGCATCATATCATTTTGAGGAAGTTTTTGGTGATCATTTGACTAATAGTGCTGCAGTGGAGGAGGCATTGACAGCCGGATCATCACCACTGGTTATTATTCATGAAAAATTGATGAAGAAAGTTCCCAGAATGTTAAATTCTTCACCATCATCTCTTGTTGATGAGCAGCAGAGCAGCAGGCCTATAATTATTCGTTATTGTAAGAGAGGGGGCGAAGATAACTTGAGGCTTTACATTGTAAATGGAAACTCTGAAAAGGAGTGCAAGGTCAGAGGCCTGAACACACTGAAAGGAGCTTACCTTGTAAACGCTTGCCACGGACTAGGGTTGATTTCGACCAGGAACCTGGAAGCATATACCAAATATGCTGTGTTTAATCCTCTATCAAGAGATAGAGTCCAAATAGTAGGAACCCCCAATGTATCTGCTAGCCGAGCATGCGGGATTTTCTTCCATCCTTTAGCAAAAGAACACAGGATTCTTGCCGTTCATGGAAGAAAACCTGTATTTGAATATCACATTTACTCAACCGGAGCCAAACGGTGGAGGCAAACTGCAAATCCTTATTTTCATCACGAGCCTAAACGCCTTTGGGGAGATGGGAAAAATCCATATAGGGTTGTCGAGGGTAATCCAGCAATTGTTAATCAAGCTCTGCATTGGCATATCGGGGGTGTAATGATTTTTGATATGGTTAGTGAAGAGTTATCGCTCAGACGCCTCCCTTTTGAGGAGTACATGGCTGAAAAGGATTACATAGCCTTTTTGTTGGTGAAAGAAGACCGCTTGTGTTTCTGCCTTGTGGATTCTGAACGCCTGGCAATAGATGTATGGGTTTTGGAAGACTATGGGAATTGGTCTTCTTGGACTAAGAAATATATGGCGAAACTTAGTTGGGATGTGAATGTGTTTCCTTTCACCGAACCTTGGGCTACTTCGGATGTAAGAATTATCAGCATCCATAAGGATGAATTGGTATTGTTTTGGAGATATCGAGGCCTATTCATCTATTCCTTAAAGGCCCACAGTATAAGGCAAATTTGCAAAAAGTTAAACATGCACGTTAGTCCCCGTGATTATGATAATTTTCTCGGGTTTGCAGCTTATACTCCAACAAGTGATCCTATATGATTATGGTCACTGCAACATGGGCGTCACCGTTTATGTTTACATCTCTGATGGTGCATTTAACTTCAAAATCACAACGGACTGCAAATTTATATTTTGACTACAAGATCCTTTTCATCCAAACATCCCAAAGTCCGACATTACTGCACTGTCATCCTCTATTCTCAGCTGCTCTCGCTTGCAAGAAATACGGGTGGGCCTAATGGAGCAAAGAGAATGATGTTATTCTTTATGGCAAAAGCTTTTTTTTTATAGTTTATGGCAAAAGTTAAACAGTGTGGAATGAACATTAACGATTTAATTCAATGGGAAAAAGGGTGAGGTAATAATTACTTTTGATAGTTTTTGATAGGATTACTTTTGGCTTTAGGGAAATAACTAGTATGACTGTACGAGGAAATAATCCAAGGAAAGTTCAGCTTTTGATCCCCATGGAAATATGGAATATGTCGTTTTCACGTTCATCCAAAATGAGAGAATTGTCAAATTATAGGGGGGAAACCTAACCATATCTTTAAAAATAATGCATACCTCCCAACCATAGCTTCAAGTTGAGGATCAAGCTCTAATCCATACTTGTGTAGATATGCATTCAACTCATCTGTTCCAAGAACCTAAATCAAAAGGATCCATAACAAAATATCATATAAAAATCTGAAGGCCTTTTAATTTATTAGGTGTCAATAAAATCAAAAATTGCCCAACCATCATTGTTTCAATTTCCCAGTGGCATTTTTTGTTTTACTTTGATGAGTCAATACAGCAAAAAAGTGAAAAACTACCCATAACTCCAACTATTCAGGATTACCTTGGCAATCTTGACATGCGGATCTTGAATATAATGCCCATAAAAGAATGGTTCCTAGCGAAAAATCTGCATACATTACAGTGCAGAATAGCCATGAGGAAGACACAAGTCAAAAGATCAAATTTAAAATTAAAAAATAATGACATAAAAGTGATAAAACCATGGCAGGTTTCTTACCATTCCAGCAAACATGCACCCAAGGCTTCACACATCCAAAGAATAGTCATAGTCTTGCAAGTCAACAAGAAGTACAGGACCCTTAAAAATATCTGCATAATTTAAAAATTCAAAATTGTTTTAATATGTTAAATAGCTTAAACATTGAGTTGATAAGTTAACCCTGTTGACAAATTAGCAAGTACTAGTAGTAGTCTATTACAAGAAGCAAATTAGCTAATACATGTAAGGATAACTACTAGTAGTCTCTTTCATGCAAGAAGCAGTGTCAACCTTATATATTGTAGTTCAGGCGGTTAATAAACAAATCATATAGGTATCTAACTGCGAAATTGGTCCATCAAATTACAGCATCCCATTATTCCTTGTGAATGGCAAAACTCCAGAGCCTGCAATTTCATATGAAAGAAGAAAAACTCAAATAGCTTTTTCCTTCCGTATGTAGTTTAGATGAAGGAATGAGCATCCACTAAGCTAAGCTTTACAGATCATCAAGAAATTGGTTTTCTTTTATAATAAACTTGATTTGAAAGCTTTTTATACCTTTATTTGATAGTATTTGATAAAATCTTTCAAACGAACTAAATATTTTTGTCTAAAGCTTCTCTTTTATTATGTTAAAACCTTTAATTAAGTTCCGGTTGAAAGAGGGAGATATAAACTCCAAATATTATATTGGGATATTGTGGGGGGTGAGGTTGTGAAATTATGTTCAGATACGTTCCAAGCGGGAAGTATACCGGGGGAATTAAATAAAACTAATTCAGTTCTTATTTCTAAGAAGGATTTTCCAGAAGACATGGGGGATTGGAGGCCAATAGCTTTGTGCAATGTAGTTTATAATTTTTTTTAAAGGTTTTAGCTAATCGACTCAAAAGTGTTCTGCATTATTTCCTTTCGGATCAATAGAGCATGTTTATTCCAGGGCAGACTATTATTGATAATATCATAGTCGCCTTTGAAACACAACATTATTTGAAGCGTAAAAATAAAGGTAAGGAAGTCTTTGTGGCATTAAAAGTTAATATAGGTAAAGTGTATGATCGGGTTGAATGGTCTTTTTTAAGACAAATTATGTTGGGATTGGAAAATTCTTCTATTCAATATCAAGAACAGAATTACAATAGGAGGAGCAAACTCTCACACTCAACTATTACAAAAAATCAATCCTCACCAATACACTTCTACTCTAAGTGTATTTTCACTCTTCACACACTTTTCTCACTTTCTAACCTGATGATAATGAACAACATGGAGCACTCTATTTATAGGACTAGTTTGGAGACAAGAGGAAGTTGCATCCAAACTTCCATTCACATGGCTAGGGAGCTTCCTAGCTATCTCCAAATAATCTTCTTCCATGTTCATATGTTGGAGACCTCCTTCCAAGAAGGCTAGCTATCTCCAAATAATCTTCTTCCATGTTCATATGTTGGAGACCTCCTTCCAAGAAGGTGTGAGATGCCTCTTGGCAACTTCCAAGAAAGAAGATGGAATATCTCTACAAATTATGACTCATGTGGGTTTTGATAAGAAATGGGTTGAGGTTGCGATGGCCTGTGTTTCGTCGGTTAAACTATTTTATTCCTTTTGATAAGGGTGTGCTTGGACTGATTCTTCCAGAAAGGAGACCCAGACAGGGTGATCCTTTCTCACCTTATTTATTTATTATGGTGACAGAAAGGCTGAGTTTTATGCTTAGAAGGGTAGAGGAGCGAGGGCCCCAGTTGTAGCATTTGCTATTTGCGGATGACAGTTTCCTATTTTTTAAAGCTTCAATAAAGGAAAGGGAGGAGGTTAAGAGGATTTTGGCTGAGTATGGATGCCAATCGGGACAAACTGTAAATTACAGAAAGTCTACCTTGGCATTTAGTTCGAACACTTGTGAGGAGATGAGAGCTAATCTTAGCAACTGTTTTGGTATAGCACAAGATGGTTTACAAAGCTGTTATTTGGGGTTACCGTCCCCTGTGGGAAGGAGGAAGAGGGAGATTCTCGGGTATATAAGAGAGAAGGTTATTAGCCACATCAAGTGTTGAAACAACAGATTTTTGTCTCGTGCAGGTCGAGCGGTTCTATTGAGAATGTTGTTCAGGCAATGCCTAATTACGAGATGAAGGTGTTTTCGTTACCTAAGGAGTTATGTGAAGAGATAGAATGAATTATGAATGGTTATTGGTGGAGAGGAGCGGGTTTTACTAAGAGGGGTATTAGATGGAAGGCTTGGAAAGGAATGTGTTCACCAAAGAGGCAGGGGGAGGTCTTGGGTTCCGAAGCCTTAGAGAATTTAGTTTGACAATGTTGGCTAAGCAAGTGGGGCGTTTCTTGACTGCTAGAGATAGTTTAGTGATACCGGATTTGTAAGGCTCGATATTTTCCTCACTCGAGCTTCAAGGAAGCTAAACTGGGCAGCAACCCATCATTCCTCTGGCAATGCAATATGGAGAAACTACAGATTGTGATTGAGCAATGGCGCACGAAGGAGAGTAGGAAATGGGGTTCATGTCCAGTGTGGGAGGATGCATGGCTTCCGATTCCAGGACCTGGTAAAGTTTCATCTCCTACCTACGGGCATTTATGACATGAATGTCGCAGCTCTTAGATCCGAGGATGGTTTATCATGGAATAAAGACGGAGTGAAGGCTATTTTCAATCCAGAAGACAGCAAACGAATTTTGAGTATCCCACAAGTGTTCGGACCAGGAGGGATGAATTTTTCTGGGAGGGGGGAAGCAGTGGAAAATTCTCGGTTGACAGCTGCTAGCCTGCTATAGGAGGTTGACGGGAGCGTTTCAAAGTCAGGGATGGTTAGGGTGGACTAAAGCATGGCATTGGCATCTTCCCCCAAAGGTGAAGCAAAGAAGGGTGGAGATGTGCCCTAAGTGTGCAGTTTGCTGCATTGAAGACGAAACAGAGGAGCATGCTTTCAGTTTGTGTGCTGAAGCGAGGCAGGTTTGGCAGCAGATGGGTTCTCGTTTTTGTCAGCAAGGGGGTTCCCTGGAGGAGTGGGTGAAAAAGTGTACGGAGAGTTTAGAAGAGGAGGCATGTGCAGGAGTAGAGGTGGGCGAATCGGTTTACGGTTCGGTTTTTATCGGTTTCGGTTTGGTTTCGGTTTATTCGGTTTGAGGAAAATAGTACCAAACTCAAACCAAAAGAATTTCGGTTTGGTTTCGGTTCGGTTTGGGAAAAATTCGGTTTGGTTCGATTTGGTGTTCGGTTTGATGTTCGGTTTATAAACTTGAAAATAATTATGTCTTGTTTCATATTTTACAATCCACTTTGAGTAATTTTGAATGTTTTGTTTTCATTGAAATTCCAACTAAATGAAATATTAGAACCAGCCTTCACCAAACCAATTGAACAACCTGCCTTCACCTGCTTAAACAACCTGCCAATTGAAATTCCAACTAAATGAAATACTAGAACC